GAACTTCCGTTGGGGCCACGAAGCGGTGTGCTGGGTGGGGGAGACGCATGCGAATTGCGCCACTTGGACCTCCGGTGGGGTTCGGACTGGGGCCACGAAGCGTTGCGTTGTACGGGGTGGGGGAGGCGCGTGCGAATTGCGCCACCGGAACCTTCGGAAGGTCTCTTTTGCGACCACGAAATGGTTTACTGGGTGGGGGGGATGCATGCGAATTGGGGAGGAGGGAGGAGGAGAGAAGAGGAGAGGACAGGACAGGAGGAACGCGGGGCGATGTCTCTTCAAAACGAGGACCCATGAACAGGTTGGTTGGGAAAGACTCCTTCCCCCTTTCCCGAAAGCCTCCGGCGCCTTTTCAAATATCATGTGTATGACGGGCATTTTACCGCAAGTGTTGGCACTGTGCCAGCGCAGCTGGGTGTGTGGCGACGCTTCGAGCACCGCTCGCAAAAACGTGCCACCATGACACAACTCCCGCCTTCATGGGCTGTCAGGAAGGCCAGTATACGTACAGCCCCGTGCCTTGGGAGTCTCTTTGGGCCCCCCTTGGGCCGTCTTGACGTGCGAGTTTGGGCGTTTTTTGCGACCGGGACGTTCAGTGGTATGTGATGGGCCCGTTATCCACCACCACCAGAAGTTGGAAAGGGAGGGGTTTTTCGCCCTTCTCCCCCACATGCTCCTCCTCCTCCTCGTCATCCTTCTCCTCTTCCTCTTCTTCCTTTTTCCTCCCACTTGTTTCTTCCCTTCTTCGAAGGCCTAAACAGCAGGTTCGCAGGTTGGTGTGTACGAAGGAGTCCCATAATATAGCCACACACAGTGTATCTTTGCATTCAACAGGTACGCGTGGTGTTTTCGCACAGTCGGACACAGAGGCGTCGTTCGTGACAGCGTCGGCCTGCCCCGTGTGGTTGGTTGTGGCAGACCGTGACGAGGATCGCCAACCACACGTCGAAACGCTGGAAACGAACTGGACCAAGGGTGCCCGAAAGAGTGGGCAGACGCAGTCCTCGACCAGAAAGGGAACCAAAGGAAGTTGCGCAGTCAACTGCTTCTCGGCGACACTGGCGCGGTTGTCCGTTGTCAGGCGAGCCTGAGGCGGGTGTACGAATAATGTTTTGAGTTTGCATTGATATAGATATGTTTGGCGAGTGACTGGTTATCAGCCGGAAGTCTCTCCAGGAGCTCGTTTTCGGTGGTGCGGCCTTTTTTCCCAATGGTATCAATTGTGGTTTTACCAAAAACGGGGTTTCGCAGGTGCGCTCTGATTTTCCACGTGCGTTTGGCTCGCACCCCTGGGCCGTGGTTGCAGTCCACTCATGGAAAAGGGGGCGGTCGCCTGGCTTAGCTGCGGTTGCCGGCGGTGCCACGAAAGAGGGGGCAGTTGATTCCTCCTTTTTTCGACCGCCAAAACAGCAGGTTCTCAGAGCCTGGCTCGTCATTTTCTGGCAATTATGGCGTGTGCGAAGGAGTCCCAGGATACAGCCAGACACAATGTATCTTTGCATTCAACAGGTACGCGTGGTTTTTCGCACAGTCGGACACAGAGGCGTCGTTCGTGACAGCGTCGGCCTGCCCCGTGTGGTTGGTTGTGGCAGGTCCTAAAAGAATAGCCAACCACATGCCAAAACGCTGGAGACGGACTGGACCAGGGGTGCCCGAAAAAGTGGGCATATTCAGTCCTAGACCAGAAGGAGAACCAAAGGAAGTTGCGCAGTCAACTGCTTCTCTGCGAACCTGGCGCGGTTGTCCGTTGTCAGGTGAGCTTGATGCGGGTGTACAAAAAAACGCCTTGTATGTTGCACTACTATAGATATGTTTGGCGAATGAGTTCCCCAGTCAAGTAATGGTGGTGGTTGTGGAAAACAGGCCCAGCTGTATGCCCTGCTCGGCCCGGAGCCGCCCGCCGAGCGAGACTGGGCCGTCTGGCCCCCTTCCTCTCCCGCCCCTTTTGTATCCCCATCTTCGGATTCAACTCTTGGGAGGTTCAAATCGGAATTTGCCCTGGTCGAAAGTCCGGGTTTACCTGGCTTAATCCCGCCCAATCCAGCTTGATCCCGCTCGATCCGAAACCCACTCTGACGTAACAGCCCCGCAATGGGGCTTAATCCTCCTGAATCTTTCCGACGAAGACCTCCCAGCAGCTGTTTCCTAACATCTTCCCCCCTCTTATCAGCAGGGATGTTCCAGACCCGTGATTCCCGATCGCGTTGTTTCTAGGCGGGGCAGTGGCAGATATTTCTCCCAGCGGACGGTGGGACGCTCCGCGACAAGAGAAAATTGACGAAGTTGGACCTCGATGTGCCGCCTCGGGCCTCCCTGGGGTGCTGCGTCAATCTATCCATTCGGCGCCAAGCCGCGGTGCGCAAAAACGGGGCCCGCGAGCGTCCCAGAGCCGCCCCCGCGCCATGGAACAGTCGGAGGTCGGAGGCCCTTGTCTCCCCGCCGTCGCTTCCGCCGTGCGGGCGGGGGGGGCTTGTCGGGCGAGGGGAGCTACGCGCATACACCAATCCTGCCCAGGCCCATCCTGGGCCCAGGATCGGTGTATATACTTTCCTGGCCAGGCCACGAAGGTAATTCTAGACGCTTCGCGTATCCCCACCAGCCCGTCCAGAAACGACGCCCAGGCGAGTAGAGGGTCGTCCTGAGGGGCTTTTAAGCGTCTTGGGTGCCTCGGGGGGGCCTCTGTGGGCCGTTCGGGATCCTGTTCGGGGCCTCCTGGGGGCATCTTGGGGCCTCTTGGGGCCATCTTGGGGCCTTTGGGGGCCTCCTGGGCGCTTCTTGGGGCCTCGCGGGCGCTTCTTGGGTGCCTCTGGGGGGTCTCTTGGGGCCTCTTGGGGGTCTCTTGGGGGCCTCCTGGGGGCCTCTTGGGGGGCCTCGGAGCCATCTTGGAGGAGATCGATCAACGAAGGGGGGGTCCCTAATTACAGTCCCCCCCTCAGGAGCCACGATCCTCGTGAGGGGTGTCGAATTTTAGCCCTCCCAGGGGTCGATCTTGGGCGCTCCAACGCGCCGCGGAACCCCCTGTCCAGGTCAGTGGGGAGGGGGTAGGGGGAGGGGTAAACCCCTCCCCGAAGGGGAAGAGGGAGGGGTGGAAGAGGAAACTCGTTAAACCACCGACGCCCAGAGGGCTGGTGGGATTGCACCGATCCTGGGCTCCAAATGGGCCGGGCCAGAATCGGTGTATGTGCATAATCCCTTGTCCTCCTAGTTTGGGGAGGGGGGGGCTAGACCTCTGGCGGGTACGGTTTGCTTCAATCGCGGCGTTTTGCTATCATTTCTGGCCTCTGGTGCCCGTTTGGGGCCTTGGGCTATCAGAAAGGCGCCCGGGACAATGGACTGCCCTGGGGGCAGAGGGGTCAAGACCCCTGGGGCCCTGGGTTGAAGTGTTCACATCGTCTGGGAAAGAGCTGTCGGGGTGAAAAGGGGGCTCGTGTATTAAATCTTCGGGTAGCGGATCGACTACACAATGGAGTTCGCCCCGAATTAGTTTGTCCCATCGCATCAACGACAGATGCGTAGAACTGTCGCACATGATTCTCACGTTCGACGAAAAATACTATTTTTGGGGTGAAGCAATTCTGCACAGTGGAAACCCATGCCAAGAAACACCCTGCTTGCCTCCAGGGTGCCCTGGGCTTCGATGGTTTCGATGGTTTTGCTGTGGGAGCCGTGACGCTCCCACAACCAGAATCAATGGACGTCCTGGGGTTCCAGGGTTGGTTTTCTTGTGGGATGTTTCTTTGGTCGAGCTCCTACTGTCGTCGATGCCCTACTCGAAGTCCGTGGTGTGCAGCTGTTTTCGTCGCGGTCGCCAGGCGCGTGTTCCTGTGTGCACGGCCGCCCCTGGCGCCGCGAGGCGCCCTGGGAACCGGTTGCGTGCCGCCGGATCGCTAGTCCGGGGACGACGACAGGGGCGAATGAGCTGGGGGAGAGCAAAGCACGTATTCCCGCTGGAGCCTCGCCGAAGGCATAGACCGTCGCCGCACCTGGATACATGTGCTGATCTCCGACAGTCAATCCCCTCTCCCGTCTCACGCCTTGAATCGTCCACCCTGCATGTCGTCTCTCGTTCCGCGCGCGGGGGGGCGACGATAAGGGCGAATAGCCCAGGGGAGAGCAATACATGTATCCAGGGGCGTCGATGGTCATGGCTTCGGCGAGGCTCTCGGGCGAATACGTGTAATGCCCGCCCCTTGGCTATTCGCTTCTATCGTCGCCGCGGGCTAGTCCATCCTCCCTCAAGTCTCACGCCCTTGTCGTCCACCCTGCGTGTCGTCTCTGGCTCCCCGCGCTTCCTTCCTGTTCCGCGCGGCGATGGGGAGGAGTGGGAAGGGGAGAGAGAGGCGGAGGGTGATGCGGAGAGTCTATCTTCTTACCTCTTTCTGCTTCCCTCCCATAACGTGCCAGAGGACTCCTCTCGTACTCTCCATGTTCTGTTGTCTCCTGCTCTTTTACATTATTTCTGCGCGCCGTGTCTCATTATTTTCCTCTGATCCCTTCTGCGAAGGGCAGGGCTGAGCTCGTCCTCCTCCTCCCGAAGTTTTCCTCTCTACCATTCGTCTCTCAAGGGCTTCCCTCTTCGTCGCCGCCCTCACCTCAGCTGTCTTCCCTGTCTCTCGTTGCCCACGAAGGCAGCAGCTGAACTCGGTCAGAAGAGAAAACTCGGACTCGGCCAGGCCGATCTCGGGCAGGCTGGCATCTGCGAGGCTGAGCTCGGCCGGCTGACCTCGGCCAGGCGGAGCTCGGCCAAGCTGAAGTCAGCCCAGGCCGAGCTCAGTTTGGCCGCGCTCAGCCGGCCGAGTTCCGCCTGGCCGAGTTCCGCCTGGCCGAGTTGTCCCTTGGCCGCCTCTCTTCGTGTGATCAGGCTCGCTCTTTCACATTATTTCCTTCTCTCTCGCTCTCCCTCTCTCTCTCTCTCTCCCTCTCGCTTTCTCTCTGTCTCTCTCTCTCTCTCTCTATTTCTCTTTCTCTGCCTCTCTCTTGCACATGTTTCACTCGCCCAGGAGGTTAGGGACGCCAGTGGCGTCCTGCGACCCTACCTCGTGCTGATAGCCTTCGCGATTATCCCTGCTGGCCAGGAGAAGCTGCTCATTAGCCCAGACAGACGAACTCGGACGAGGAGGAGAAGGAGGAGAGGAGGAGGGATAATGAAACAGGTTTGGGGCGCTTGGATGATTCTGGGAGCGGCAGGAGTTGGATGGGAAGAGCGAGGTGGGAGGTGGGACCTGGACGAGGCGAGGGGGAGAAGGACGGACAGAGGGAAGAGAATGAGGACACCGACAGCAGTCCCTGTCCATGTTGGACAGGAGTCGCTGTCAGAGTCGTCGCCGCGGACGTTGTGCTTCTGAGACTACAGGTCGCCTGCCTGGCAGCGGCCGCTGTCAGATTTTGGCCAAGGTTGTTGCTGGGCATTAGATTGCTTGTTTTTGTCCGTACCTACTTTTGGCGTCACCCCAACATACTTATACTATGTGTGCGTCGCCCCCCCCCCCCAGGGGCGACGCGCGCACCGACAAATCTTAGTATATGCGGCGTTGCGGGCGCTTTCTGGCCACACCGCTGGGGAAACGATAGATTACAAGATAGGTATACTATATGTTCGGGCCGGACGCGCGCCTCCAATGTGGACATATAGTACTCGGGCGCGCCAATCCCCAGAGCCCAGGAACCGTGAGACAGGCTCGATCCTCGGAGACCTGGGGGGCTTGGAGGCGGCCTGTGGGTCTGCAGTGGTTCGGGCCCCAGAAATCTGGTTCGGGCTCGCTCAAAAAATCACCACCTCCTCCTCCTCCTCCTCCTCCTCCTCCTCCTCCTCCCTCCCCCTTCCCCTCCGTAGCCATTTTGGCTCATGCTGTCTCGAACCCCCTTGGCGCGGCGGGAGGTGCGAGAATGGTGGCTGCGGGGGGCGCCCCTGTGGGGGAGGCCTGTGAGTCGGCGGCGGCGCGCAAGGCTCGGCGTGGCCGCGCTCGGGAGGCTGCTGACCGTGCCGTTCGCAACGCAGTGTGTGCAGCCAAGCAGCTGGAGGAGCGGCTCGCTCTCGCCGAGCCCGCCCTTTCGAACCTGGTGGACGACGCTGCGCTCGCGGGTCGCATTGCAGCGGTGATCCCAGCGCTGCAGCATCTGGCTGCAGGTCGAGTTCCGCCTTGGCTGGATCGCCTCAGGCGCAACGTGGCGCTCCATGCCCGTGCTCACGCGCTGGAGGGGCGGATCCACACGGCGTCGTCGTCGGAGCTCCGCACGGCCGCCAGGGGGCACCGGTTGGGTGCAGAGAGAGGCGTGGATCTGTCGAACTTCTCGGTCGAGATCTGCGTCGCGGAGCACGTGGCGTCCAGGGTCGGAGGGAACGGGCTGCCGGCCCCACAGGTGTCGACGGCTTGGCGGCGGGAAGCCCCGCTCTTTCGCTTTGGCGCTGGGGCCCACTTCACTTTACGAGAAGGAGTGGGAGACCCCCACGTGCTGCTGGAGGCACCGTACCTGTCATCGTCTGCCCGTCTTGGTTCCCGTGCGAGTCGTTTTTCTTCTTTTTGCGGTTCGGCTTCGAGCAGTCCGTCGCGGACGCTGGACGGCGACCCTCCAGACTCCCTCGGTGCGCACCCTGACATCATCGAGGTGGAGTCCGGGGAGCAGCCGACCGACCGGTTGGGGCAGGAGCCGCAGGACCTCAAGGCGGATCGGGACCAGAGGACTTCCGACGACGCGTTCGAGACCGTGGTTGACTACGCTAGCGATTCGGATTCTTGTGCTGCATGCCCCACTGCTGCTGTACATTCGGGAAGGGCCGTTGTGAAGGACAGGATCCAGGTGGTGGGAGGAGTGGTTCGCGCGGGTTGTGGAGCCCAGGGGGCGGGAGGAGTGGCCATAACTTCATGCCCTGTTGGCTCAGCAGAAGGCGTGAAGCGCGCGCATTCCCCGACGTCGGGAAAGGCCCAGGCAGCGAGCGGAGCTGCCGAGGCCAGGACCCAGGTGGTGGGAGGAGGGGCCCCCGCGGGTTGTTGGGCCCAGGTGGTGGGAGGAGCGGAGAGGCCGTGGCCCCAGGTGGTGGGTGGAGAGGCAGGTGCGCATACCCCGAATACTTTCTCGTATCGTACTGTCAGAGCAGTAACTTGGCCACGCCTTTACCTGGAGTGTCGGCTGCAGCCTGCCAGTGGCGGTTGGGGCCTCCTGCATCGGAGCTACCTCGATGGCGCCGTTGATGCTGGGGCTGCCTTGCAGGACAGCTTGACCCGCGCCGCTCGCCTTTCCTTGCGCGGCAAGCGCTGGACGGCCATGGTGTTCGAGATCCGCGAGAGGGTGAAGGGGCTGCGTCCTCACCTACCCCTTCCCCGCTTCCCGTGCTTCTACAACCGGCACGAGCCGCTCTGCAAGTGCGAGTCGTGCATGAGGGTCACCGCGAAGTCCGTTGCTGTTCATGAGTCAGCGGGTTACGAACGTCAATGGGGCTTCTGGCATCCGTCGTGGTCGCCGTCTCCTCAAGCAGGGGCGCCCGCGGGCAGACGCGACGGAGTAGGGCCAGAGGGGCCGCCGCGGCTCACGGGCGTCGACGTGAACTGGCGGAGCCGCCTCCTTTCCCCCCTCTCTTCCTCTTTCGCCTCCCCTTAGTCTTCTTCGGGGCTCGGTGCGAGAGTGGCGACGGGCGGCCCGTGGAGTATTCAGATGCCCCTCCCCCTCCTCCTCATCCTCCTCCGCCCTCCTCCTCCTCCTTTTCCTCCTCCTCCCCCTCTTCCTCCTCCTCCTCAGTTGTCCTTCCCTTTCCCCCTCCTCCTCCTCCTCCTCTTCCTCCTCCTCCTCCTCCTTCTCCTCCTCCTCCTCATCCTTTAACATATTCCCGAAGTCTGGACTTGCCCGTGGCTTCCTTCTGGCGGGGCCCAGTGCCGGGCCATGCCAGACCCACAGACGGCTCCAGCCTTGGGCTCTTCGCGAGGAGCTCTGCGTGAAGAGGCGGCGGACCGGCGAGCACGGCTCCCTCCGCGACGTGCTCGGCAGCTCGCTGCGCTCCCTGGACGCCACCGTCGCCGCCGCCGCCGTTGTTGCCCGCCGTCGACGTCGCCGCCGCCGCCGTCGTCGTCATCGTCGTGATCGTCTTCAAGCCCTCCGTGCGCGCGGGTCTGCGCGCGGCCGGGGTGAGGCGGGGGAGTGCTGAGGGAGGGAGGAAGGGGAGGGAGTAAGGAAGAGGGACCAGGTGGAGGGCATTATTTGAGTTTTCACAGCCTCGATTCGAGGCGGGCGATCGCGCATATCAGATTTGCTAGAACATTGATGTCGCTAGTCAGGCGGTCTTGAACCAAGGCCGTTGCCCTGCGAAGTCAAGATTAGATGAATGTGGGACGAGCGTCGCATGAGGGATCTCGTGGGGTTTTGTGGAGCGCTCCAGGCCTAGTGGAGATAGGCGCGCTTGGGGAGGCTGCGGAGTCTACCTCTTTCGTGAAGGAATGCCACCACCGTCAACCTTCATGGCAAGGATGTGCAACCTTCCCAAGAGTACCCTTGCATCCTTGCCCCTTCGGTCCATCCTTGGCCACTTTCGCTGGCCAACCCCGTTCGAAATACGTGCACATGGGCCTCCAAGGCTCTTGCATCCTTATATACCGCGCATCCATCTGATACGGGCCGGCTGCAGTTCCGCCCCAGGCGCTCTCTTCTAAGAGTATCAGTGTCCCCGATCCCCCGTGACTCTGCCGGGGGCCGCCGTGACGCACCCGACCTGTACGCGCCCCTGTCCCGAATCGCCGGTCTGCACGTGCTCGCGCCGCCCAAGACTTCCAGCACGTACAGACGGACACGTAGCCGGCCACCAAGGGCTGTACATTGGGGGAAGAAAGGTACTTTTTTCTCAGGCTCTGGCGGGCGAAAAAGCGTCGATTCTCAGAAGATCTGGGAACGTATGCGAAGTGTGGGGAAGACAAAAACAGAGAACATATAAGAGAATAGAAGGAATCCTGGGATTTTGTAATTATTTGCGTGTCCCTGGGCTCTTGTAACTTTCGGTACCTAAATGCTCCCTTTGGGGCCCTAAAAGGTCCCTTCAAGGGCCCTGAGCGCCGCTTTTCGGCAGCCCTCCATGCCTCCTCGCCCCCTCATGTATTGCCCCCCCATTGCTTCGCGCCCAATGCACGTGCTGGTCTCGCCTGTGACATGCGCGCAGAATGAAGCAATGTACAAAGGGATCTTTAGCCAGCGGGGCAGGGTGCAGGGAGCAAGCGTCGGCTTCCGCACCCCGGCGTGCACCCTGGCCCGGCCGTTCAGTGTTGATCAGTTTGTGGCCCGGCCGTTCAGTGTTGACTCTCCTCCCCATTGCCTACGCCTAGTTCCCTGGACCGCGTCCTGTCAACCTCCCACAGCCCGTTGTCAAGCGACGCCCGCCCTATGGCCAGGAACCACGACCTCGCAACTTCATTGGGGCTGCCATTCTGGGCGTTGATCTTTGCCCCGATTGGCACCCTGTGACTCTGCCACGACTGGCGCTCCCGATCGTATGTTGCGAAGTCCTGACGACCCTCAGTCTTGCTAGAACCCCACTCCCGGGATTCCAGAACCGCCAATCATCGAGACCTTTGTGCCAGAGTGCCATAATTACCTGGGACTTCAACCGACAGCGTCCCTGGAACTGTTGTACGCGGCGCGGCGCTAAAACGAGAGCCACATGTTGAAAAGCAGCAGCCCTCCATCCGTGAAATGTTCGCAAGCTCGTATGAGGAGAGAACGCGGCGCTAGGGCGATCGCCACAGTTTGAAACTTAACCGCCTTCCACCAGTGAAACTCTTGCGAACTCTTACACGAATGTCCATGGCACTGAGGCGAGAGCCGCATGTTGAGAACCACCCGCCCGCTATCCGCGAAGCTCCTGCAACCTTTCCAAACGAATGTACGCGGCGCTATGGCGAGACCCACATTTTGAAGACGACCCGCCTTCCATGAGTGAATCTCTTGCAGATCTTAAGCTTCATAATCGTAAGTGGTGAGGAAGTCTCAGGCGGAACGCCTGGCCCGCCCTGCCGACACGCTTCGGGGTGCGACAGTCTCGGGCGGGTGGCAACGGGGGGTGACCCACATGAGGGTTGAAAAGTGCCCTTGGAGCCCTCTGGAGCCAGCAGGGGCCCGAAATGGCTCCATTTAGGGTCTTTTTTGTTTGCCCCCCATGTCGGCCACCCCCCATTACCACCCGCCCGACAGGGATATTTTTTTCGCCGCGATAGGATGGTGGGAGGAGGAGGAGGAGGAGGAGGAGGAGGAGGAGGAAGGATTTGGGCTATAGCGGCCTACCTGACCCGATACCGTACAGACCGCATTGGGTACTGACCCAACGTGTGGCCGCGTTCATTCGTCCGGGTGTCCACGATTTATTTCTCATCTTCAGATTTCCACGTATTTTCATGTTTTTTTGCGCCTCAGCACAGAAGACAGCGTGCCAAGCGAACCGAAGATCGATTGATGTTGCGTGCCTTGAAATCAGAGAATCGGCTATTTCGTCATCGCGCGTCCCAACGGAGAGTAGCCATGGGGGGCCCGATGTCAAGGGCAAAGCCAAGGGCGGTAGCAAGCGAGGCAAGGACGGCAACGACCCTGCCTGGCCATGGTTGCCAGGCCCTGTGCCCACGGCTGTGTTCCCCCCCCCCGACGGCACACCTGGACAGTTTTCAGCGAGAGCCTGGGTTTGTTCAGTTTGTGGAGTTTCTGTCATGTCGATGTGTGGTCAGCATTGGGGTGCCAGCAGCTCGCCTTCGCTGCTTTTTCAGTCTAGCCCGCCTGCAGCAGGCCCCATGCAGGGCAAGGGCAAAGGCAAGGGTGGAGCGAAGAAAAGTGGCAAGCGTGAGCGGGCAAGCTGCCCAACGGCATCCCAGTCTTTGCAGGCCAACCACCAGGTAACCACGGGCTTCTTATGATGGGACCTCGGGCAAGAAGCCCGTCAAGTCGCCGATCCATCTCCGGCAGAATGCTTTGGGCCAGGCCAATCGTCTGGCGGAGGTCGACGCCGAAGGGGGGTCACAGGCGGAGGCAGCGGCATTGGCGGCTCATGGTATACATGTTTTTTTCTTCACTTCTTTGCGCGAGCAACGAGATGAGGCCAAGACGGGCTTCCAGAAGATTCAGCAACAGTACTCTCGCATTCATACTGTCCACAAGGGGGTTGGGAAGTGTGCAGAGTCGGTTGGGGCTTCCATACCACGTTTTGAGGCAATGCATCAACAAAGAGAGGTGGTTGTAGCGCCGTCAGCGGATGCCTAGAAGAAGCTCGAGGCAGCGACTCTCACTTTGCGCAATCTTCAGCCAGACAAAGAAGAACCGGATAAGATGGCGGTGGATCGGTCCGAGGAGCCCATGTCAACTACAGAGATGGCATGGACCCACGGCCAAGATTGTCCGAGGACCCATTGAGGAACTTACGAGGGCAAGTGGCACGGCAGAGGCAGCCCGAGCCGCGGCCGCGGGAACGGCGGTGCAGACGGCATCGGGGGCAACCTCAGCTACTGACCCCAGCCGCGCCCCAGCGGAGGGGTTGCCGGCGCTGCTGGTAGGCAGCCTCGCGCCCGCCGCTGTGGCAGGAGGCGAGCTGCGGCCTGGCCCTGGCACTTTGGAGGCCTCCCGCCCCGAGAACGCAGCGCGGCCTGCTGAGCCTCGAGGCAGGCAGGAGTTCGAAGCACCTCGCAAGGCGGGGCGCCCGCCCCGCTCCCCGCGCAGGTCTGAGCGGGCGCCGCCTGCATCACAGGGAGGGGTGGGGCGGGCGGAGGGGCCTCGGGGAACGGGGGGACCACGGTCTCATGGGCAGCGCCAGTGGGTTGCTGGGCCCCGAGGTGCACGTGCCTAAGTGGGCCGCCCAGCGGCTTTTTCTGCAGGGGGGTCAGGGCCACCTGCCACATTGCCATCTTTCAAACAAGTAGCGTCTGCAATCTTTAATGAGTCATGTTAATCAACGGCGCAAAAGTTTCTACAATCCACCCGGGCCCCGGCCGCGTTCATTCAGGAACGCGGGCTCCAGGGGCAAGAGCTAGCGCATGCGCGGGCGAAGCTGCCTCGGTCAGGTTGGCGCCCCTACTGCGCCCCCTGTGTCCTTCGGCGCATCCACGCGCAGCGCGTCCGCAGGCGCGGTTATTTGTATAAGGAGTTTCCTGGATTCCTGGCAGGAGTTGCTTCAGGCCTCGGCCGTGAGCCCCCGGCTGGGGCGACATCTTTTTATGTTGGGCGAGGCGCTGTGACGTCATACTGCAGGGAAGCCAGCCGTTCGTCGTGGGCGGGGATTCCAACGCGCCGCCCGAATTGGCGACGCAGGGGATATCGCCGCAGAAACCCGGGGGGCACGCAGTGCACTCTTATGCGCCTCCCTGCCTGACGGTTCAGCCTGGCACTTGGGTCGGCTTCCTCCTGGTCAGCAATCGCCTTCATCCGTTGGTAAAAAAGTACGCGTGCTGACCTGTTGCGCGCGAGTTCGCCGCGCAGGATGCGCAGGTATCTGAGCTCGACAAGTTTCGCAAACTCCCCGTGCCCCAGCGCCCGGGCCCGTTTCCCAGCCGCCTCTGCACGGGGGAGTGGGCGACCTGGCTCGAGACTTCCAGGCGAAGTACGGGGCGGGGGAAGGGGGCGCGCGACGTCCCAGTCCGAGCAGGAGACCTCCTTAGGACAGCAGCGCCTGGACCAGGTATACCAGATGCGGGTCGCATGTGATTGGCCAGAACCATGTGCCGCGCATGGTGTTCAGGGTGTCCCTGGACGCCGTGGGGGCCAGGTATATAAGGTGACTGGTGCGCCGCCGTCGTCGCCCCTTGCTACGAAGTCCAATGTTGTGCCATCCCCAGCGCGGGCATTCCGCTGGGCAGGCAATCGGTTCGTTGAGATCGCAGCGCTGCGCGACAAGTGTCCTGGCTGTAAGAAAGATCAGTATAGTTCCCTTCTGCTTGGGCCTACGCTGAAGCCGAGTAAGTCGGGTCGGTTGTTCGGGCGTCACGCCCCAGAGGAGACGTAGCGTTGGGGCAGTATCATGTCTGGCGCCGCGGCTGGGCTGATTCT